GATTAGTAAAAAAAAATAAATCGAAAACAGCACGAAGGGATTCGAACGTACGGTCTTTTTCATTGCAGTCTGATTTGCTTAACAGTAGTCTACCGGTTCTATGATGTCAAAAGTTATCTCTCATGTGGATTTATTATTTATCAATCACATACATATGCGTCATTCCCGCTGTTTTCAGTATAAGAAGATTAGAAAATATACTTTGAATAGAAAATAACATACGCAATTAAAGTTTTTAAGAATTGTACATTTTTGTAACACCATAAAAAAAAATTCAGACTGTTGATTTTTATAAAAAACAAAAAATTGTGTTCCGTCTTTTAAGAAAGAACAGCATCTTGTTTAGCGATTTATGTATCTACAAAAATGTAGTGCGTATCATAATTATGAAAAAACAAAAAAAAAGTTGAGTGGTGATTGTGGGATCCAATCATAAATACTTTTTTGTTGTAGACAGCCTTTTTCTACTAGTCTATATATATTGTAAAATATTTGTATGTCGCCATCTAATGACTATTAGACTAACGACAGTTTGTTAGTTAACAACGATTGCTTGACGACTAGATTGCTTATAGCAACGAGAAGAGAGTTTGTTTATCTCCAGTTTTTGTCTGAGACTTGAGTTGACCGCACGGATTCTTACTTTTAATTAATTACTATCAATCATTAATAAACATTTTAATTAATTTACTTATTTTCCGAAGTTGTTATTGAGTCTTATTTTACATTGGTGTTAGAAAGTGGTTCGTTTCGCGTGCCGTGAATATTTTTGTTGGTGATTTCTGGAAAAATATTTTAGAAATCATGTCAAAGAGTCCAAGTCGGAGACAAACTCGAGCTGCAAGGAGAACGCAATATGCGGATGGTGTCGAAGACGGGAGGAATGGGAGGACGGGTGAGCGGGAGAGAGTGAGATGGAAGCGTGGGGGAAGAAGACGAAAGCGTGAGCAGAGGCGGGGGGAAGAAGGGCGAAGAGAGACTCAAAAGTGGAGGGAAGAGAGAAGAAAGGGAAGGAAGAAGAAGAAGAACAAGAAGAAGAAGAAGAAGAATGAAGAAGATAATAAGATAAGAATACATAAGATAATAAGTAATGAAGAAGAAGAATGAAGAAGAAGAAGAATAGAAGAATATCAGAATGAAGAATAATAATAAGAAGAATAAGATGAAGAAGAAGAAGAAGAAGAATAAGAAGAAGTAAGAAGAATCAGTAGAATAAGAAGAAGACGAAGAATAATAATAGAATAATAAGAATGAAGAAGAAGAAGAATAATAAGAAGAATAAGAATACTAATATAATAAGCAATAATAATAATAATAATAATAAGAATAATAATAAGAATAATAATAAGTAATAATAATAATATAGAGAAGATAATAATATAATAATCAGAATAATAATAATAATAAGCATAATAAGATAATATAATAATAATAAGAATAATAATAATAATAATAATAATAATAATAATAATAATAATAATAATATAATAATAATAATAATAATAATAATAATAATACTAATAATAATAATAATATAATAATAATAATAATAATTAATTATTATAATAATAATAATAATAATAATAATAATAATAATAATAATAATAATAATAATCATAATAATCATAATAATAATAATAATAATAATAATAATAATAATAATAATAATAATAATAATAATAATAATAATAATAATAATCTGGAAATTCATAATTTAGAAAATAACTCTAATAATTTGGTTGAATCGGTCTCAACATTTTCAGTTAACAGTAGTTCTTTAGCTTTTGCAAAACCAGGAAAATTTGATGGTTCTCAGACGTGGGAATCTTATTTCCGTCAATTTGAGACTATCGCTCGTCTACATAAATGGACAAATGAAGTTAAAGCATCGATTTTAGTGTCCTGTTTGAAGGACAAAGCTCAAGTCATTTTAGAAAATTTGAGTTTAGAAGATTTAGGGAATTTCGATAAATTGAAGAAAATTTTGGAAGATCGTTTTGGTGAAGCTCAATTTTCTCGAGCTTATTTTAGTCGTTTTCAGGCTAGAAAACAGTCTGAAAATGAAAATTTAACTGATTTTTCAAATGATTTGGATAGGCTTGTCAAATTTGCGTATCCTTCGGTCTCTTCCGAAGAGAGAGATAGAATTGCTGGTTTACCAATTTATTTCCGGATTAAAAAAATTAAAGTTACAATTTCTCTTCGTTCAGAGAGAATTGAGTCTCTTCAATTAGCAACTCAGAGAGCTTTAGAGCTTGAGTCGATTAAAAATTTGACCTTCGGAGGTCAGAATAAAAACAACTTTAACAATAATTTCAAAAAAGATAAAATTTATTATGATAATAATAATCATTCTGATTCTGTTGAAGGAAATTTAAAATCTTTCAATAATCAAAATTCTTTTCATGGATTTAGATGTTGGATTTGTGGAATAGAAGGTCATTCTAAGAAGAATTGTAAGATTTTTCAGGCTGTTAAATCAAGTTTAACAGAAAAAAATTAAATTTGATTTGAAATTCTTTTAGATTAAATTCAGAGATTTAATTCAATTTTTCTTTAAAGTGAAGGAAATCGCCTAAAGTTTTAGTTATTTTTGGAAGGTCTTCATGCATCTGAAATCTACTTAAAGATGTTGTGTTTCGAATTTCAGAAAATCTTGAATGGTCGTTTTTAAGTGATTGAATGATTAGACTCGCTCCGTATGATGATAATGAATCATTGTTGACTCTTTCTGGATTCCTAATTCTGTTGAATTCAGGGTTTTTGTAACTTCCAGTCTGAGAATGTTGGCTCTCATTGATCATTTGATTGTTGATTTAAATTCACAATGTCTGTCCTGGAGCGTTCTCGTGGAGTTACTGTAGGATATACACGGTTGGAGTCATTGTACTGGAATCCTTTTCTTCATTTATTGGCCAAAGTGAAGCAAAGTGAGGTACTAGATGTCCATGGTATCCTAATATTTTTGTTCGGATAGTATGCGTAACTGTGAGCCTAACTTATAATAATTTAGTTTGCACAGTGAGCAGAAGCTATTGAACTTATTTATGAAAATTCCTTGCGCAAGGTGGAATTGAATTGATTGTTTTAATGATATTGAATCATTTATTTGAGAGTCAGATTTTCATTTAAAAAAGGGATGCGAAGTCGGAATTTATTTGGAGAATTGACTCCATGAAATGTGACCATTCAACCTAATTATTAATTGAACATTGAATTTATGATTAAAAATGAAATTTTTAAAGAACTTTGATTCTGTGAGGAACTTTTATTTTGTTTAGTTCCATGAGCTTTCAGTTTTTGGCTTTTCCTACTCTTTGGGTTCTTATGGTTCTTCCCAGTGGTTCCTCCTGATGAAAAAGAAGGATGGAAAGGGAATTGAAGATGGAAATTTTAATTTTTAATTTTTAATTTGACTAACGGACGATTAGTTCTTAAGAAATCTTTTATTGTATAGAATCACGTTATTAGTTTAATTTAAATCATTTTGGTCTGTTTGGAGGTTTTTACCCGCCGCAGGATTTTTCCCTCCTAATTATTTGTTTTATTTATTTTAAAGCAGACAGAGTTGGGAAGCGGCAATATTGGAATCTAGGCTGACTGATTATTATTTTGATTATCATAATTTCGAATTAGAAATTAAATTTTAGATCTTTCATGTTTTTTTATTTCAGCCTAATCCAATATTTTTACCCAACTAATAGGAATTGCCAGGTGGCAATTTTTTAGGAGATCGGGAGAAGTGTAAAATATTTGTTCGTCGCCATCTAATGACTATTAGACTAACGACAGTTTGTTAGTTAACAACGATTGCTTGACGACTAGATTGTTTATAGCAACGAGAAGAGAGTTTGTTTATCTCCAGTTTTTGTCTGAAACTTGAGTTGACCGCACGGATTCTTACTTTTAATTAATTGCTGTCAATCATTAATAAACATTTTAATTATTTACTTATTTTCCGAAGTTGTTATTGAGTCTTATTTTACAATATTATAAAACAAATAGTTTCTTTGGTACAAATTCATTTTGGAATAATATTTTAAAGGAAGAACAAAAAGGCTAAAAAATCATTTATATGACAACTTCAACGAAAGTTAGGGACGGCACATCTATCATCAGTATTATGATAGAAAAATTGTTTTTAACTTCCCAGCGGGAAGTGCGTATGTGCATATGTGCGTTCGGAATTATTTTTCGCCTCGATTATCTCGAGAATGAACAATGATATCGACGTGGAACCAACTGCATTCGACACGTAATTGCGCAACTTAGAACTGATTCGGTTTTCAACAAAATCGGCCCAGCCATTTTATTTCAGAACCAAAAAACTAGCAAAAATGGAAAATGACCTGAATTTCTCAATTCATAAATTATACCATTTTTTAGACAAAATTCGAAATCTTTCAAAAAATATGAATATTAAATAATTAGAATACTTGTATAAAAATATGATGACAATATTTCATCGAAAAAAGAAATTTTGAAAAAACAAAATCAGCAATGAAAGTATTTTAAACTCGTGTCAGGATTGAGAAAACAGCATTAAAGATGCTATAATAGTCTATAATAATTGTCAATAATATGGAATTGTGTCCATAACAATTAAACATTGTTACTAACAAGTGATTATTGATCATAGTAATATTTAAATAATAAGTTTTAAATTGTTATAAACAATAAAAATAGGGACCCTTATATATATATGAGTACTTTTAACGCATAATTTTTTCTTTTACTAAAAAAATATTACCAACCGTAGCAGATAAATGGAAACATACTTTTTTCGTGTATAACAATGAAATTTGTTGAAAATAATGAAAAAAAGGATCTATGAGGTATATTCGAATTCTCCTAACGCACAATTTTTTCTATTATTGAAATGAAGTAACTAAGCATATCAAATGAATAAAAACACATTCATTTCGTTTATAACAATTCTATTCGTTATAAAGAATGGAAACGGGTTCTTTTCGACTTGTTTTTTCATTTTTTCCACTGGGAAGTTGGTCGTGTGGACCTTTCGGGTCGCACCCAGACTACTGCAGAGCACTGATATTTTCATACATATTCTCTTCGTGTTATCATACTCAAAACAATATAAAGCCATTTTTCAGAAGTATATATAAAAGTAGCACGAATTATTCATTCATGTGGCTTATATATAAGTCACACAAATGTACAGATGGTAGAAAAACGTAAATATCCTGCAAACTATTAGGAATATCTCTATATTCTTCGAAGGACCTTGTAAGAAGATCAAGACACACCTTATAAGCTATCAAAAACATGGTGTCACATAAATGTCCAGCTTACAGATTTTTACATACATGTATATTATCACACACTACTCCCTTTATTTCTCATCCTTCCTCTTTCACACACCTTTTTATCTCTCCTTCTCAACACATACTCTTCCTCCTCTATCACTTTGCCTCCCTTTCTTTCCTACCTGCCCGACACTCTATTACACACATAGTATGCCAGGTTGCGTCTGCAGCCGACTTACGCCTTAACCATTGGATTTCATTTGCATAATGACACAGGAAAACTGCAGAATACCTGTGATAGCAAACCTATGAGTAGCAAATTCAAGATCGCTAATAAACTGTCTGCAGAAAAAAATGCGTGACATCACACACACACGTATATTTAATATTGCAAATTCACAAAAATGTAAACAAGTATGCATTTAGGTTTAAGTGTACAAACTCAACTTTAACACTACCTAACAATTGTCAATCACAAATATGTTTTACGATTTCTGTTACAAAGTCAAATATTATTCACGTTCAGTGAAAAATGAAATGGATTGCACTATCAGACGTATTTTGAGATTAATATGATGCTGTTGTGTTTCATAATATGACCATTTTTTGAGTGATTTTACATCGGAAAAAAAAAAATACATTTTATAGAAAGCTCTATTTTAATTACTCCGATTATCGATCATGTATAAAGACTAAACCGTTTCTATTTTTTCTAGATGATGACATATTAGACGATGTGAGACCCCGAGATGGCCGTCGCGGACCGAAACGACCACGCACCATTCTTACATCTGCTCAGAGACGACAATTTAAGGCCTCCTTCGAGTTATCACCAAAACCATGTAGAAAAGTTCGTGAAGCACTTGCAAAAGATACGGGATTGAGTGTACGTGTAGTTCAAGTGTGGTTTCAGAACCAACGAGCAAAAATGAAAAAGCTCCAACGGAAAGCAAAATCAGACACAAACTCAGAAAAAGATACAAAAGATGACAGAAGAGCTGATAGCCCTCATAGCGACCACGGTGAGTCATTTTTTTCTAAATGTTAGTTTAATACTAATAGATATCAAATACAGAAGCTCTTCATAACTCAAAATTAGAGTTTACACGGTACAGACTTTTATTGATATTTGAAGCCACGCTGACACATCATTGAATTTCAACTCTTGAGCTTTTCTGATTAGAAATTATAATGCACTGTTCAAAAAATCAGCTTCTCAATCCAACCATTATTCATTGCGTCATTCAGGTAACAGGGAAATAGTTTGAAAAATAATAATTTACAGGCATGCACCAAAAAAAGGGAGTCTTACGGAACCAAAAAATTTACAAATTTCAGAATTATCTGTTCCAAGTAAGATAGAGTGAGAATATATCTATCCATCTCCGTCTTATTTGTCAGAAAAAAAGTGCGAATTCGAGCAGTTGGCGAGCGAGCTCAGTTTCCACTTTAACTTCTGTTTCCAAGCCTGAAACTTATAATCCATAAATGTAAACAACATAGATAATTACGCATGTATATGCTGGCTCTGTAAAAAGATCGCTCGGCTTTTATTTAGCTGAACGGTGTCCGATTTCAACTACAGCAAAATTTTTTTTTATTCAAATTGCATGTAATTGCAATTTTATCATACCAAAAATGAGTTTTCAGTTTCAATTTTTATGTAAAACCATCTTTTAATTAAACGATGAAAAAATTTGAAAACGGCCATTAACCTTTTTTCATACAGATACATTGATAATAGCCTGTTGTTAACAACTTATTGACAATGAAAAATAGTTTAAACAATCCGCGGCGAGTTCCGGCACATCGCGGGCAAGCTTTACACCCACTCTTCATGCCCAAGCCTGCTGCTTATAGTTCACAAGCATAAATAGAGAGATTATTAATACGACAGCTCTGCGGTCAGAACGCTGGACTTCTATTTTGTCGATTAGGGTTCGATCCCAGTAATAGTAATGCAAAAATGACTTGTTTACATTAGTTCAAAATCAATTCCTATTGTTTTTCAAAGATAATATTTTCTGTAAAAGAAAATTCATAGTAACTCCTTCTTCGACCTTAGTTTATTTTCAGAAAAATAAGTTTTTTTATACTGTTTAAATATTCTTTCACTCTGTATAATTAATAGGAAGACCAATTTTATAAAATATACGAATAATTATATCTAGAGTAGCGGTAGATACTTGACGCCACGTCACCTGCACTTTTTGCCTATCCAACTATTGCCCCTTGTCAAGCTAAGGCGCTCTAGTGACTTACATTTCTAGTGCCGACCGCCGACCAAAGCGGATAAAACTGGTACTACGGGAGACCAAAATCCAAACCCGCATCCGGGGCTGCAAAGTCGAAAAACGACATGCAGGAACCGGGTGCTTTCGGTCAATTGAGGTTGGACTCGTCGTGATATGTTGCAAGGTCTTAGGCTAGATGCGTGTATCCTTGTGCCTTTCTAAAGGCGCGAGAATATTACGTCCCAAGTAACGCCGTCACTAGGAGTAGAGCCATTTCCAGAGTTATGCCTTATAAGGCGAGGTACTCAAACAAAATGTCCTCCTCAGGACAGGGAAACAAGAATTTACATTGCCGAGGAACACGCTACTTTATACTGAAAAGTTCGCTCGTGACGTCCCGACGCAATGTTTAACTGTAAATATCTCGATAACTAATCCAAATTAGGGAATAATTTTTAGTATACAATTAATAACGTCTGTTAGCTTTGATTTGAATCGAAAATCAGTTTCATTCAGTAAGTACTTATCAAGATACAGAATAGGCCACACCCCTCATTCTGTTTTCCGCACATTTCAATTCAATTTCTAGCCTCTTCTTTGTCAGTCTTATCTAAAAACCATTTGACGCAAACCTCTCTCTCTCGTAGCCAAGATTTTTCAACGATATATATAGGTATACTCCAAATGTGTAATGTCAGCAAATGAATGGTTTTTATGTTTCGTTCGTTAATATTCATAAAGAAAATATAAATAATATGAATTACTTATGGATTATTTTTAAATATGAATTATGTGAAACATGAGTTGATTAAAATTTTTCAAATATTGAAATTTCAGAAAATATTTTTTAATTCTCTAAAAATTTCAGAAAAGTTTGGATATTTTCGATGAATTCCTAGTAATGCCTAGAATTTTTCAGAATGTTCGAGAATTTTACCTTTGTTGGCAAAAAAAATCCGTTTCTATTGAGGATGCATGATGAATAATTTTTTTCGCTCATAGGAAAAATATGTCGTTGGTAGAAATCGTACATATTTCATTGACCTCGTTTTCAATTCTTTATAAAAAATGCAGTTCTTATGAAAAAAAATTTTCTATGTCAAATAACTTTATTTTCGTAAAAGAAAAGATTACGCGTTAGAAGAACTCAAATATGTTGTATTGAACCCGTTTCAACTGTTTATAACGAATTCAATTGTTATAAACAATTTACAGAAATAATAAGTAGCCTATGTTACTTCTATCGTCCCATTTTTTATAGCTGCAAAGTTTGATTGAAATCAGTTCAGCCATTTCTGAGATTACCCGAACAGACAGACAGACAACAATTCTAAAAATGGCCATTTACGTTTTAACGGCACGCAAATAACCCTCTGAGCTCATTTTGAGGCAGTTTTTTTTAAAATCATAAACAGACACTCTGATTTTATATATATATATATATATATATATATATAAAATCCTACCAAAACCGACTTCACCAGATGTCGGTAAAACTTTGCGCCAAGTCCACGTCCTAAGTGACTCTAATATAATAACATTCATATGTGATAGACTATTGGAATATTTAGATACCAAAAATATTTGAAATTACATGTAATGTCAAGTCCTACAAATTGCCTAATTTTCTACAAATTCCGGGAATAAAATATAAAATATGATAACCGTATACTTTTTTACTGAAATATTTGTCAATGTTTTCAAATCATAAATGCTCATGAAGTATTTTAAAAATAGAACATCATTAAAATTGGGCCAAGTCATCAATTTTTTCTTCAAATGAATATTTTTTTCGATTAATTTAAATCACCCAAAAAATTGCTGTTAATTCTTAACATTTTATTCGAAGAATATTTTTGTAAATAACATGAAAATGAAAATGATATCTTCGAAAAGTCCTTAGTTTTTCCTTATCAATTGAAAGCAAAAAGATTCTATTCCATTCAATAAATGACTCGGCATTACATGTGATTTCAGTTATTTTTGGTATAGTTCTTTGTACATAAGGACATTTGAAACTGGATTGGGCAGACTTTCAAGCAAAAGTGGGCTAAGTTCTATAGTTTTTTGATTTCAAACATAATTTTTATCTGTAATTCAAAATCAACTTAAATTTCATAAGCCAATAGTACGTTTCTAGTTCGAAAAGATCATGAAAAAAAAACGCGGCTAACTTGGCGTTTTACTTGATTTCACATATTTTTTTGATCGTACCTTTTTTTCATTCAAACTATTTTTACTTGAATGTGGAATTGGCGCCAATTTTTACAGGCATTCGTAAATGCCTGTTTTGTTCGGATTTCACTTATTTTTAAAATGAAAACTTCTTTAGGCGCGTTGGAGCAATTTTTAGTAGGAGACAAACTTGTGAGTTCACATCACCAAACCATCTGCGTTACCGATGTAGTAACGTTAATAGTATGTCTATAGCTATGATAGATATTAAAACGTGGACTAATACTGATAGGTTCAATTTACAAATTATAAATTTTCAATTCTTCATACTACAATTTCGAAAATTTAAACTATTGTTATATGATAGTTTCAAGTTTTACTTCTATCACTAGTCCCTATGATTGCCTGAAATTTCGTCTTTAAACTTACTGTGGGATTGCTACGACGATAACAATTTGATTTTATTTGAATATTTTTGTATTTCAAATTTCTGAAAATCGAAATTTTTGAGCTAGATACATTAGTAAAAGAAGTTGTATAATCATTACGAGCTTTAGAATGCTGTTACTGAAATGACTATCATTCGAAAAAACAGTGGTTACTCTACGAATACATTTCTCAAGAAAACTAGTACCATTGATAGAAGATAGGAATGTACAAATTATTCTATGGATAAATTAGAATTTCAGATGCATTCATAGAATTCTTCTGCAAGAAACATTGATGGCCTCCTTCACCCCATATAGCTATCCCTTACCCAACTATAAATCTTGTATTCCAAGTATAATGAAAATCATACTGATTATCGAAAAATTTTATTATTTATCACACCGTTTTGATTATCAAACAATCTATGATAGCATGATTTTGCACATCTGTCGTAATTCAAAGTTTTAATCGTTGAATATGAGTACTTTTACAACTTTTTCGAAGGTCTGAAGTGTTTATTGTATAAAAATAGAATGTAAGCGTGTTTACTGTTCGTTGGCCATCTTTCATACTTATGATTTAAATCATCGATTTTAACCCACTTCGAAGATGTTTTTTTTTATCATACTGTAGAAATGACCTGGCGATAAAGACTTACTTTCATAGAATACAGCGCTCTTTTCTGTGTAAATTTTATGACAGATATTGCCTTTTCTTTTTCGCCATCAGGAAATATATTTAAGGAAACAGCAACAATGGCCCAGTAGAAGGGCCATTGGAATTTTACGTTGACATTCAGTTTCCTGACTACATGTTGGACAAGTACTTTCTTCTTTTTGACAATGAGAATAGGCGTTTTTTAGTAAACTGTTAATATTAGTTATACTTAAAGGAATCGAAAACGATAATTGGATAGTTTCTTCTGCGTACGAATTGACATAACTGCAAGTATTGCATCGATCCATATATTGTAAATGATTAGTAAATAGTTGTTGGATTTCATAATATTTTATACATAACGAATCAAATAATAATAGAGGGTCTGTTTTTCCATCAGCATTAAAATGATTTCCAATATCTTCTAGCAGTATGGAAGTATTCAGGTCACTGTGATAATTTATATACATTAAAAATAATTGTTTCAAAGGAGACTTAGAGGTATCAGTCAAATCTCTAGAAAAATTTGATGTCAAAATACAATTACTAATTAATTGCATAGTAGCATTTGCAAAATTTTTTCTCCCATTATCGTCTTCTAATCCATTGATTGTAATTTCTCGATTTTATGATCTGCAAAATTATGACTACTATCAGAAA